GGAGAGGGGGCGCCAGCCCCCCCGCCCCGCCCCAGCCGTTCGGCCTGCCCAGCACTCAGCACCTGCAGCGCCAGGCGACGCAGCGGCTGCGAAAAGCCCTGCTCCACCGCGACGCACAGGTACACGCCCGAGTCCCGGCGCCGCAGCCCGCGCAGCAGCAGTCCCCGCGCCGTGCGCTCGGCGCGCTCCTCCTCCAGCACCTGCGGGAGACGCCCAGGTGAGGGAGCGAGTCCGGCCGGGAACAAGGCTTACTGGCCCAGGCAAGGGGCGGGAGAAGCGGAGTTACTGGGGACCGACGGGCAGCGGGAAAGGGGCGCCCACAGGTGCACGTCTAAAGGTTGGATGCATGGGGGACGGTGGTCTTCAGGGAACTTCTGAAACTGGGGGAGTTCACTTCAGTATGGGAGGCGGGTCAGGGACCTCAATGGGCGGGTCGAAGGCGGGCCTTAGGGGGTCGGATCACGAGCCTGGAGGGACTGAGTGGGGCCAGCACGTGGACCGCAGGTGAAGCATCATACCAGACCAGAAGTATCAGGGGTCTGGTCGGATGGGCTGGACTTGACAGCTCGGATACAGGCCAAGGTCTCACCGGGCAGGGCGGGGCCTCCAGGATCCGGGGGGCGGGGCGAGGCTCACCGTGTGGGCCGCCTCCCCTGCACGCTGGAAGGTCCACTCCACGCGCGCTTGCAGCGAGCGAGGCTCACACTCCAGAAAGGCGCTGCCGCCTTCCACGCCGAACACCTTCCGCTCCAGCAGCGGGGTCCGGGACGAGTCTCGGGGAGAGGGAAACGGCGATTCAGGCAAGGTAGGGCGCTATGGGACATCTTCAGGAGCTGAGGGCGCGGGGAGGGCACTCACCACCCGAGCAAAGCGTGCTGGGGTCTCCATTCCTAACATCTTGTCGCCGGAATCGCCTAGGGGGAATATTGGACCCTCTGTGAGCCCTTCGTCCATTCCGGGACAGCAAAGACCCTTCAACTCCCTCCCTGCGGCCCGACCCCAACCGCAGACCCCGCCCACCTCTTGGCACTGGGCTGGAAGCGCGTGCACGCGGCCCCGTCCCAGGCGCAGTAGGGGTCACGCGCCAGACAGCATTCGGCACAGGCGCGGCCGTGGGCAGAGCAGCGGTGCAACGCGATCTGGGCCACCGCGCTCCGCGAGGACACGTACAGCTGGTGCTAGGGGACACGAGGGGCTCCGGGCTGACCTAGGGCCACGCCTGCCTCCCACCAGCGGATAAGCCCTTTCCCCACTTGACAGATCTGAGGGCTCCCGCGTCACATAGTCTAGCAAACGGGGAGCCTACACTCGAACCGAACCGGGGCTGCAAACTACCAAGGGGGAGGGAGGGGGTGGGGCCCTGGGCACAAGTTCTGCCATCCCACCCCCACATCCTTGTCACTTACCCTCTTGGAGGAGATCTGCATGCTGGTGACAGCAGCTGAGTCCTGAGAGGGAGGAGGGGCGCCGCGGTCAGGTCTTAGTGGGATGGGGAGACTCTGGGATACTGCGGGCCAGGCCTCACCTCAAACACATGCAGCTCCTCCAGAAGCAGCCCCTCGGCACTGGGCCTCCCGCCTTTGGGCACCGAGATCACCTTCAGCACGGTGCCGGCGTCTGCGAGGAGGACAGGGAGTGGCCACTGGTGTTCCCTGACAGCGACCAGTCTCCTGGCTTCAGGCCTCGACCCCCAGAGGTGGGTCAGAAGAGGCGAAGAGTGGATTGGACCAGGCAGGGCCACCAGGAAGGTTGGGCGCAGCCCAGGCAATGAGCCTGGAGGGGTCTTCCGGCTGCAAAGGCAGGGCCCTGACCTGTGCCGATGAAGAGGACGTCATAGTGTCCGTCGGCAGCTGCGACGCGGTCGGCCACGATCTGAGAGAAGGTATACCCAGCACCCACTTGCAGGAAGAGAGGGCGTCCCCCCACGGGCAGGACGGAGTTATACATGAGGGGGTGACTCCGGGCAAACTGGATGACATCATCCGGGAAGTCCTTGGTGGAGCTGAAGGTGCCGAAAGTCTTGCTGGGGCACTGGAGGGGCAGGGACAGGGAGGCAGTGGGGACAGAGGCTTGGGGGCAATCCTCTGGGCAGGCCTCGGGAGCGCAGTTGGGGAAGGGGACAGAACCTCGCCCTGGGGATTTGAGAGGGGAGACCCGGCCTGCTCCAGGAAGTCCGAGGGCCTTCTGAGGGTCCCTGCCTGCCCTGTCTGAAGCAGGTGACCTTTCCCTCCCATAGCAAGAGAAACCAGTTCACCAAGAAGACCCCAAGCCAAGTTCTCCACTCTGGAGGCTTTGAAGTAAGTGGTGACAGGATTCCCCCCTGGCTACGCACCATGCCTGGCCGGGGGTAGGGGACGCGACCCTGGTAAGACACCCACTGGTGCGTGGGCCCCTCCTTGTGTGCAAAAGGTCCCAGGAAGGCCCGGCGCACGTCGTTCATGCTGTACACGCACACGGCGGAGCCCTGGAAGATGCCGCTGCAGGCGAGACCCGGGTGGGTGAGGCGGCCCAGGTGCCAGCGGCCTGCCCTCCCTTCCCCCTCCCCTCCTCTCCCCTCCCTCCCCGCACCTGGAAGTGGAGAAGACGGTGTAGAGCAGGGGGGCGCGGCGGTCCCGCGAGGACAGCAGGAACACGTCCTCTGCAGGAAGGGACTGACAGTTGTGGGGAAGCACAGCCCGGCCGGCCCGCCCCTACCCACCCTGCTCCACTCCCCGCACTTACGGAGCTGGTCGAAGTGGGTGTCGCCCTCCACGCCGGGTACCGAGCACACCAGCCGCGCCTTCAAAAACGTCGTCCACTTGTTGACCAGGCTGCGCTGGCCGCCCACGTCGTTCTGCCGGAGCGATCGATCAGAGGGGATGAGGGCGGGACCCAGACGGGCAAAGGGGCGGGAGCAGGGTCGTCAGGTGTGGCCCAGGGACTCCTCACCCGGCAGATCTGGCCGACGCGGGACACTGACAGGCGTCCCAGTGCCGGCGCTGCCTCTACCGCCGTTTCACGGAAGAAGAAGTAGATTTTGTCATCGTCTGGGTTCTCGCTCTCCGGGATCCAAAAGACCTTGACAAACTTGGGCTCTGGTCGCAGCAGGAGGCGTGGGGTCAGCGGGCCCTAGCCCCACCCCCATACGGCACCCACCCACCGCCTCCCTTTCCCTTGCGCAGGACGTAGCACCCGGGGCAGTATCTGACCCCACAGCCTGCAGAGCCGAGTTCAGCCCACACTCGTGCAGACTGGACCCTCAGGATCCTGGCTTGCGAGGCAAGAAGTAGCCACGAGGGGGCAGCAGAGACCGTGGCTAGCGGAGCACGCAGGCGGAGCACCACGCGGGGCTCTGAACTGGCATCAGCGATCCCCAGGCCTCTGGGCCGGGGAAAGGGATATCCAGTTACACCTTCATTCCGAACCTTCCTCTTTAGCAGAGCCAGATGCGCGCAAACTCCTGCTTCAAATCTTCCTCCTGGGTTCCAGGGCTCTTAGAAAAATCTAGCCTCGCCCCTGCCAGTGGGCCTTATCACTGCTGCATGTCTGTCCCTTGCTTGCATCTTCCACTAGTTCCTTCCTGGGAAGCGCTCCCCTCCATTCTGTTGGCTTTGGGAATTAGCTCACACCTGCGCACCGCAGAGTGGCTTCCTTGCCCCCAGCCCCTACCTATCTACCTATCTAGTCTCTTTTCCCCCTTTTTTTTAGAGATATTTTTGCTATAGGGTGTGTGCACTCCGAGGAGACAGAGACAGAAAGTGAGAAATCACCCCCCCAGGGGGATGACCACGCCGCAATTCCCTCTCCTCCAGTCTCCTCTCAGGATTTTGGGCATGCATGCATACACGCAGGCATGTTTTAAGCTGCTGGGTCTGGGACTCGAACCACGACTGACTATGTAGGAGTCCAGTGATGTAACCATTTTGCCACATGCTGGTCCCTTCCCTTCCTCTTTCTTTCTTTCTATTTTTTTTTTTTTTTGAGAGGTTTTTGCTGTAGGGCGCGTGCGCTCACCAGAAAGAGAGACAGAAAGCGAGAAATCACCCCCCGGGGGGAGGTGACCATACAGTAATATCTTCTTCATTCTCCTCTCAGGATCTTGGGCATGCATGCACATGCGCCCGGAGTGAGTTTAAGCCACTGGGTCAGGGACTTGAACCGCAGTCGATTACATGGGAGTCCAGCAACATAACCATTATGCCAACTGCTGGTCCTTCCTCTCTTTTTTTTTAGGATTATTTTTATTTAATGCTATTTATTCATTTATTTTAATTTGATCAGAGAGGGACAGAGAGAGATAGAGGGAAAGTGAGAAAGCAAGCCATCAGGTCCAAGACTCGAACCATGGTCAGCCATGTGGAAATCCAGCACCCTTAACCACCACACCACTTGCTGGCACCTCCCTTCTATCATTGGCTTCCTGGTCCCTGGAATTACATTCGTTCTGATAGCCATGAGCTTGAAGAGGGCACAGGCCACACCCATCTTGCTGGTCCTGTGACCCCAGTGCCCACCCGGAGCCTGATAGTGGTAGGCACTTGCTCACTGACTTCGGGGGCTGTGCTTGGATCTTGGATCTGCCCTGTGGGAGCAGGATGGCCCCCCACCAGCCCCACCAGCATCTCACCATTGAGCCAGCGGGAATCGTGTGGCTCTGTCCGGAGACTTGGACGCTGGCCCAGGCTGCGAAAGATGGTGAAGTCCCGGCCCATGAGGTCTGCGGCCACTCCTGAGTATAGCTCCTCCCCTGCAGATGGGACCAGAGCTGCTCAGCCAAGCTGGGGGCTCTGGGGACTGCTCTGGGGGCTCTTGGAAAGAAAGGAGGCTATGGGGAACCCCCAGGGCCTCAGGGGGCTTTTGAGACTTGGTGAAGTTCTGGAGTTTCTAAGGGGACCTAGGAGCTGGGCTGGGCTCCCGCCTCAGACTTACCCACCAGCACTGAGGCAGCCCGGTGCTTGGGGTCGTAAGGACTCCGCCCCTTACCATCCTCCAGCCTCTGCAGGTCCAGCCGGAGCAGGGGCTCCTGGGAGGCAGGGCTGGTTACTGACAGGTGCTTCCCGTGGACGCCCTCCCTGCCCAGACCTGACCTTACCTCCAGCCGGTGGCCCACCTCCACGAACGCACAGGTTGGGTGGAAGGCCCCCGTGCCGCAGGCCAGCAAGTGAGTGTGGTTGTAGACGTGCAGCAGCTTCACGAAGTTCATGCACTCGGTCTAGTCGGCGGGCAGGGTCAGGGCGTGAGGCTTCCACCGGGGAGGGGCTGACGGGGTCCCAGCTCGCCAGGGGCATCCATCCATCCCCACCCCTCCCTCTCCTCTGCACCCATCAGCCCAGGCAAGTACTGACATGGGTTAAGGGACCTCGACGCCCTTGGTGACCGGCCCAGCCCACCCCTCACCAGGGTGGGTACATGGGGGGCACAGGCCTACACAGCTTCCCATGACTCAGAGGCCCCCAAGAAGAATCACAAGAGCCCCCACCCTGACTCACCACCTCCAGACCTCAGCCACCTCGACCTCCCTGCCCTCGTCCCAGCCAGAACAGGCAAGGCTCTGTCTTAGCAGTGCCCGGTCATTTCTGTGTGAGGAGTTGACTCTCCCCATTCCCTGCCCACCCCCTGCAGCCAGGACTCACCCCGATGTCCTTCCCTGCCCAATTGCACTCCTCTCTCCATTCCACAGGGGCGGGCCAGGCCAGCTATGGGGGTGGGGGAGAAGGGAGCACAGCTCAGGGTCTTGGAAGGTTCTCTTTCCTGGGAGTCTCCTCTCAGGGCGCCCATCCCCGTGTTGCTCTAGGCAGTCTGGGGCTTCCACTCTAGGCAGCGCTGAGCCTGGGGGGTCCCTGGCACCTTCTTGGCCCGCTTGCTGATGTTGTCCAGGCTGAGGGAGGCCACATGGTTCTCCGCGCCCACGAACAGGCGCCCATGCTCTTCGTCCACCAGCAGCGCTTCATAGCAGCAGGCCCGCTCCAGCCGGAAGGTCCGGAGCCCGTGCCAGGCCTGGAGCTCTGCAGGGTGGAGACACACAGAGGACATGCTGGAAGCTTCTCCCAGCCCCGCCTGGCTGTCTCTCTGCAGCCCACGGTTAGACATGTGACCTGGCCCCCACACGAGTTTATGGGCCCACCCACTGCATGTGTGGGGCTGTGGGGGGCACAGCGCAGCCCCTGGAAGGGGAAAGCGGGTTGAGCTTGGGCGTGCTCAGACAAGCGGTGTCTCTGGGCAGGCACCCTGGGAGGCCAGGCTGTGGATGCCAAGGTTCTGGGGGAGGCCGAGGTTGTAGGGATGGCCAGAGCTCCGACCCCAAAAAAGTTAGACAGAGGAGTCCCTCCCTGCCACCCACCACCAGCCTGAGCTCAGCAGAACTGCCTACCTGATACCACTGCCTAGTGACCACCCTCCCGTGCAGGGGACATGGGAGGGGGCTCTGCAGCCACCAAACTGCAACCCACTTCCCGGGTGCTCTGGCTAAGGGGCTTGGCCTGCTTGGGGGCAGGCGATGAGCCAGGCAAGGTCTGTTGCTATGGGGACGGAAGGGTTTTCCTGGGAAAGCATGAGGAGAGTGGGGGCCGAGGCCAGGACAGGGTTAACTGGAAGTGGCCTGGGAGTGCCCTCTGGTTTGCCTGGCGTCCTGTGACAGGCACACGCATGGGCAGCAGTCCACGCACAGCCCCACCTGCACGGGGCCCTTTTCTTCCCTGCCCCAGGTGAGCCGTCCCGCCCGCCAGGTGCACCTACCTCGGAAGGAGAGCCGAAGGCGCGGGGAGTTGGGGGCGGTGCCCCCCAGCCCCGCTGCCCAGAGCAGGGCCAGGCCCGGGATCATGGCGGCGGCCTCAGCCGGCCCCATCCCCGCAGCTCAGGGGGCTCAGGGGTCAGCCGGCGCGGGGGGGGGGGGCTTGG